TTCACAGCTGAGTCCTTGACCAATGCAAAGTGTTTTAGAATGTAAAAAGCAGGATGATTTTTCACAAATTAAAAAAAAAAACACATCAGAAATATTTGACATCCATTTGTTTTTTAGTTTACATCAATTTATCGTTAAATAACTGGATGGAATGTTTTTTCTTTTTTTTTTATCTAATACGCAAATCAAATATTAAATATACCTTTACATAAAAAAAAATCACCATAAAAAAAAAATGTTTAAAAATTAAAACATTTTTTATCTTGGATATTTTTATTATGTTTTTGACGTATAACAACACATACGCATACATCCTCGTATAATATTCATTTTATGTAGTGTAAAGATCAACATAAACATAATAAACCCTCCATGCATCCACACCTACAAACTAGGATTCCTGAGTATTATTCTTATTATAAGTGTAAATAAAATGAATTTGTATAAATAAATGTATAGTAAATTTTATTATATGATCTAGAATATAATAGTAATTATATGTATTTTGGGGGTAACAGGGTGACATGTTTACAGTGTGTCTCTGTCGACCTTTCCTATTGTGGAGACGGCTTATTTTGCCCTTTCTTTATAAAGCAACTCAAGTTAAATCAGCTTATGTTGGGCTTCAAGTTGAGGAAGTTATTCCTGCTGAAAGCTGAGCCTTGCTTTCTTCTTTGACTTGTATTCCCAGTCTAACCCCTAGGTTCCACTGGAAGGTATAATGTCATGTATGCGTCTAATTTTCTCATAATGTGGTTAAACAGAAAAAGTCAAAAGATTGATTCTTTTCTAAAACAATGTGATAAAAATATAAATATAAATATAAATAAAATAATAAATATAATAATATAAATGTACTTTTTTGGTCTATATGTTGTCCTGAAAATAGATATTCTGATGACCTTCATTTCCTGCTACAGTTATACAATCTAAAGCGGAGGTCTTCAACAGGGGGTCTGTGACCCCTAGGGGGTTCACAGAGGTACAGCATGAACTTTTTTTTTTTTTTTTTACATTCCCCCCTGCAATTTTTTTCCACTAATTGAAATGTCTTTAAATCCACATTAACATGAATTCAACACACTGTAGTAAACAAATAAATGGAGGCAGAAGATGTCTTTCAGTCATCAATGCACACATTCAGCGACACACAGGAGCTTTTTCAAGCTGGGCACCCTTTCATTCACAACACCTGTCCCATCAATGAGGAATAAGAATCAGACATACTTTTATAATCACAAGGAAAATGACTTTCGTTACATTACTCCATATGTAATAGAGTGACAATAGGACCAGTTTGATGTATCATAATTTCATACAATATATATAATTAGGGGGTCCCCGTTCCATCTTGCCATCAGTTTGGGGGTCCTTGGCTTGGAAAACGTTCAAGACCCCTGATCTAGAGAATTTATGGGAAGCCATTTTGAACAGTTCTTATGAACTGTTGTTTTGCTCCTAAGTCAGTCTCCTGTTTTGGATAACGTTTCTTTCTGTTGTGTCTCAGTGACGGTGGTGGGAACTAGCAACACCTCTGCTGACAGGTAGGTCAACATATTTGCTCATCCAAATACATATACTCTAAATTATTCTAAGATATTAATTAATTAGAAGAAGTGCTTTCTGCTATTTTGTTGTTACTGCAAAAAAAAAAAAGGAATTCTAAAAGAGTATTTGATTATTTTTTCAAGTGTTTTCAGTGAAGAGTATCCACCTATTGCAGAGGAAGATGCTCTGGCTAAATGGGCATCAGATCCTGCCAACACCGCTTGGATGGAAAGTAAGTAAGATCTGGTTGGGATAAAAACATACATTTTTTTAATTAGTTTTGACACTACCAGACATGCCTTTGAATATATCCTTTCTTTTTTCCACTTTGCTTTTTACACAATAGGCGATTCCTTCCCCTTTTTTTGAGGAAGCAGTCCCTTCTGCATGCCTTTCTATTCAATGTTTCTTCCATTCTGCTGTGAATGTGCCATGAATAGTCTGATCGTCTTACTGTCATTTTTCGAATGTTTATTTTTTGTGATGTTTTGACATGTTCTTCAGACCCAGATGAGGTGATCTATGATGATGTCCCCAGAGAGAACTCAGACTCTAACACAGGTTTGTGCTTTATCTTTTTGAATTTCAGCATGAAGCCTTCTATCTTTAATATGGCAGGAGGCAGCACTGTTTCTTTCGTTTCTTCCACTGATTTCATATATAGGAGATTTTCTCTTGTCTTTTTTTTATTTTTTTGTTGAAACATTTAATAACGATAAAGAGAATTTTTTATGAAATACAGTTTGATCAAATTCAGATTTATACTTGAATAAATAAAGGTTAATTAGTTTTAAAACTCAAGCTGTGGTTTGGTAGAAGTTTTTTTTATAGTAGATAAAGTTTCTTTAATTCGTTCTCTGTGATTCAGATCCAGATGAGATGATTTATGATGATGTGGAGCTGGGCGAGGAGGGCGGCTGCAGCAGCTCCCTCGATAATGGCTGGAGCTCGAGCGAGTTTGAAAGCTACGACGAAGCCAGCGATGGGGAGGGTCACCCTGAAAATGGCCTCCCCCATGCCTTCATGAGGGGAAAGCCACCGCAGAGGAAAATCCATGTGAGTATTCCTGTCGTCCTGTTGCTTCCAACATTGCTTCATGACCATAAACAAAACCTGCCTTAATGAATCAATCAGTACCTCTATCCTCTTTCCCCTTTAGATGAAGGAATAATAAATATGTTTTAATTATGTGTGCGAAAATGTGTAGAAAAAATTAGATTTATGGGTAGATTTGGGTTCATCAATCTATTTATCAAATTCAGCCGTCTGATCAATGGATGCTTATCTTGATATATATGTATGTTTCAATTCTCCAGGAATTGAAGTTTCTTCTGCTGTATGATGCTTATCATGCCATAGTCCCTCTCCCCACTTGTTGCTGCACCCTTGTGGTCAGCCAGGAAAATAACAATCTGGCAAAACTCCATTTTTGCTTTTTTGTTCCAACACTGTATCCTTCCTTCCTTCCTTCCTTCCTTCCTTCCTTCCTTCCTTCCTTCCTTCCTTCCTTCCTTCCTTCCTTCCTTTCTCTTCTCTCTTGTCCCTTTCCTGTCTTGTTTTCATGCCCTTTGTCCTTCCTGCATTGTGTGCTCTTTATTACGCCCCTCCCTTCTTGTATTCTTTGTTACTGTCTGTCTTTTAATGTATCTTCTTTCCCTTCCTTCCTCCCTTGAGACTCTGGAGTTGTTTTCTTTTCTTCTTCCTTACCTCCCTCTTCTTCCTTGTGTCCCGTCTTTCATCCCATTCTTTAGTGGTCCTATGTTGTGTCCCATCTCACTCACACTCCTTCCTTCCTTTCTTGCTTCCTTCCTCCAATGTATTCTTCCTAACATTCCCTCCTTCCTTCATTCCTTGCTTCCTTCCGTCAATGTATTCTCCCCAACATTCCTGCCTTCTTTCCTTGCTTCCTCCCTCCAATGTATTCTTCCTAACATTCCCTCCCTCCTTCATTCCTTGCTTCCTCCCTCCAATGTATTCTTCTTAACATTTCTTCCTTCCTTCATTCCTTGCTTCCTCACTCCAATGTATTCTTCCCAACGTTCGTTCCTTTAGTCCTACATCCTTTCCTTTCCTCTTGCTTTCCTTTCAGGTTCCATATTTAACCCTTTTTAGCCAAGATAAAAAAATTGGCAGAAGTTTCACTTTTTTTTTAATTCAAGTTGTCATTGAACTTTCTGACAAATGAAATAAAAAAACATGCATTCCGTAAAAGTTAAATTAGATCACTTATTTGCATAAATTTTGATACATTAGGCATTACTTTGTCTTTTATATGCTTTCAGTGCCAATTTCCAAATTTTCTATTTTAAATAAATTTGAACAATTTGTGGAAAATATTTGAAATTTCACCTGATTTGTGTGCGTGGGAACCCAGTGTTTTACATTATAGGCTTAAAATCTTTTTTAAATATTATGACTACGTATCCAGCCTTGCTACGTGAGCTCGACATAATAATTCACTTTTATGTTGTATTTGTTGTCTTATTATCTCGACCTACATTTGCATATGAATCCCAAAAATGATGAATGAGGTCTGGATATGTGCTAGTGGTATTTGAGGTATTCAATGGTGTACCTTAAATTCTTAAGTTAAAGTGAACCTTACAGAGAACCTGCCTGCTGTATGAAAAGCGTCTTTCACATAGCTAGTGCTCCAAAATTGAGTTTGAGTTTTTTTTTTTTCCAAAGATGTCCCTTTAGAAGTACGGCTGATTGGAGGCTTTGGGTTTTCTTAAAAAGAGTTTCTTGTTGTGGATTTCTCCTGGTAGGGGAGCAATTTAGTCAGGGTGCGTAATAGTATGCCGATGTGTGGGATGGTTCTTTTCAGGTCCATTGTTTCATATGTTTCTACTCGTTTTATACATTTAGATACATATAAACTTCTGAAGATTATGTGATGTTTGACAAACTATTTTGCGGCTAACTTTTTTTTATGTAGTTCCTATTTAAAACACTAGGTGTCACTATTACTTATTTAATGCTTCAACAAAGCCTCATAACTACATGTATTATTGGTATGGAAATAAGCTATAAATGATATGAATGTTAGCTATACATTCTATCCTCTTTTTTAATTTATTCTGATCGAACAGCTTCTGTATTTTCAGTTTTGTTTTGTTCAAGGATTTGCATTTTCACACCATCTCTAAGTAGCATTATCAAGACTTAGATTTAGACAAAGACAAATTTTGTGTAGTTTGTTTAAAAAAAAAAAAGCATGGTGCAAAAATGTATTGATATGAAAGTTTAGAGCATTAATATATATGGTGCAAATATGCAGTATTTCGGTTTGGTGTTTTAGTGTGATGCAGAGTCTGTGACATGATTTAGAGTTTTCTCAACATTTATAATGGACGCAGTAGGTGAATGCTGGTCTGTGTTCTCCTTAAATTTGATAGAAGTGGTTCTGAAAAGTCATTATGATGTCAGAGGAGGTGTAGAAACCTTGTGAGTTAACATATTGTAAAAACCTCACATTGATCCACGCCTCTGAGAGAGAATAAAAATTTATAATTCATCAGAAATTGGTCACGGAAACCCAGGAATTACAATACGTTTTTTTTTATTATTATTTGAATTACCGGTATCTGTTTCATTTTGTAATTTAAAAAAAATACATTTCTAAAATTTATCATTTATGCAAAATAAAGGACTGTCAATTAAAAACCACCAACTTTCATATCATTGACCCTGAAACCAAGGTAACCTATTGGGATTTTGATATATTTTTCATTTTAACAGTTATTTATCCAAATTTCTGTGATGAAGTGTAACATATTTTAGCATTTATAATAAAAAAACAACAAAGAAAAGCAGTAGCCTTCAGCCCAAACACTGAGATTCCTGACACCGTGGGCTGCAGGACCGTGACCAGTAATACCTGCTTTGCTTTTGTTTAGCTCTCTCAAGATCTGACACGCTTGAAAGAACACTATGAGAAAAAGATGAAAGGTCTAATGGCAAGTACAGTGGGAACGGTAGAGCTGCAGCAGTTAAAACAGAAACACGAGCAGAAGGTAAATGACCTCAGGCTCCCCTCATGTGTCTGAGCTAGATTAAAACAACTAGATGCAACCCTGTTGACTCTCATCTGGCTAACCCCACTGACTCGGTACCTTCATCCTGGTATGGTGTGTAATACTGTGGTGGTGGTACTGGTGATGGGCTAGTATTCGGTTTATTTACCTCACCGTCGGCTTAATTGATGTATCTACAGATGTTTTCTTTTTTTACTCCAGAGGTTTTAAATGTTAGGATGGTCTGTTTTCTAACATGTAGCTCAGCTTAGTTGAAGGGGAACTGAGACACCAGCAACACCAGTTCTTATTCAATATTTTCTTCCACTGAAACCTTACATACAGTGCCCTGCAAAAGTTTTCATACATCTTTAATCTTTTTTTCGTTTACTTTCAATACAACCACAGACTTCCCTGGATTTTGTTGTTGACTTTGATACAGTAACACAAAGTGCTAGATAGTTATGAAAGAAGAAAGCTAGAAAAATATGAAGAAACAGTTTGATGTAAGTATTAGGACTGGAACTAACGTTTATTTTCCTAATCGAGTAATCTGTCGATTATTTTTCTGATTACTCAATTATTGATAGGATAGAAAAATTTTCCTTAAAGTTTTTTGCAGAATTAAACAAAGTGAAACTAAAACTATTCTACATGAAGAGTTCTGGATAGGGCATATTAACGGATGATTTTTTTTTTTCACCTTAAATGCAAAATGTATAAATTTTTATTATGATTTTGCCATAATTCCTGCTCAAAGTAGGTCACTCTGTCAGCCAAAGACATGATTTAATAGTCTCTATACTCCAGTTAACGATTTATCGATATACTAAATTAGTTGATGCTTATTTCAATAATCGATTAATCACAATGGAAGAGTTAAGCCATTAATAAAAATGATTTGGGAAGCCTCTGCTAGCAGGACAGCAGACAACAGGCCTACAAAGCGTGACCATGAGTTTGCTGGACTTAGGTCTGGATTTATACTGCACCATAAGAATCTGTGACAAGGCCTGGAAACAGTTTCTCCGTATCCAATCTGACTGATTTTGCATATCGACTCATAGGTTCTGAATACACATATACACTAATTTTTATTTTATTTTTTAAACAAATTTGGAAAACCTTGCTTCCTTTTCCTCAAAATTCTGTACTTCTTGTAGATCTGTCACATGAAGTCTCCATCAAATACACCAATGTTTGAGTTTGTAAAATGACTAAATCTAAAACAGTGTAGGAGTTTTGAATACTTTATGAAGACACAGCGCAGCCTGAACGAGCCTCTTGCAGGAAATGTTTGCTGCTGTCATACACTCATGATTGAAATTTGTAACTTTGTAATAAAATCCAGGTCTTCTTTTCTTGCTGAAGTCTCAGTTTCCACTATTTTAACCCTTTTATCCCCATACATCTTCATCTGTACTCTAACCCTCTTACAGTATTGTAGCACAGCTTCTTAATAGCTTTAGGTTTAGATGAAGTGAACTAAACATCGCTTAGACAGAGCTCTGATGGTAAACAAGTCAGAGTTACCATTGAGATGGAAATGACAGTGTAGAACTCTCATCCAAGATGCAAAAGCTGGTGAAGGCAGCCAAGGAGGGGACGAAAGATGGACTTGAAAAAACTAAAGCTGCGGTGAAGAGGGGGCGCTCTTTCATCAAAACAAAGTCATTCTGTCAAGGTATGCCATCCCCACACCCTCCCCCCCACGGCTCTATCATCTCTGTTAATAAATCAGTTATTGCTGTATTGTTCCAGAGAGAAAGTCTGCTTGCTTAGAGGGGGAGTCTGAGCTCTTCATTGAAGTGGACTGCTTCAACGTGGAGCCCGTTCTCTGTCCAACACCAGAGGGTCTCACTCAGCAGCAGGTGAGGCTCTAATCGGACGTCTTAAAGCTGCAAAAATAACTAAACGCATCAAATACTATTGATTTAGTATTTTCTCTCTACAGCTTGTGCGAAGGTGCATATTGGGCTCTATTTTAGAAAGTGAGAAAAATTATCTTGATGCTCTCAAAAGGATTTTGGAGGTGTGTGAGTACAGCAGCAATTTATTTCTCTGAATTTGAAATGCTAGATATGATTTTTCAGATTATTATTTACTTTTTGTTTGTTTTGTTTTTTTGCTTTGTAGCATTATGAGAAACCCCTTTCCCAGATTGAGCCCAAGCTGCTCAGCGACAGGAAGCTGAAGATCATCTTTTACCGCGTGCGGGAGATCCTGCAATGCCACTTCCTGTTCCAGATAGCTATTGCGAGCCGTGTGTCTGAGTGGGACAGCCTGGAAATGATTGGAGATGTCTTTGTTGCATCGGTAGGAATTCATTCAGATACATACACAAACTCAGCTTTTACCTTTAAAGCTCTCCCTTTTAAGCAGTTTTTTACTGAGGCAGTAAGTAATGAAAACTATTAAGCTAGATGAAAGAGAATTTTCAACCGTCTTAATAAAAAAATCTAATGAAAGCGTTGAAATATTCCTACCTTAAAAGTTCATGCATAGAGAGAACTAAGATAGTGTTTAGCTCTAAATATACGTGTAAATTCTCTTTTTTTTTACCTGATTTCCATAAAAACATCTTCATGTAATTGCAAGCTGCATCTTTTATATTTTTTCATCCTTTGTTTTCTGTACAGTTTTCAAAATCCATGGTGCTGGATGCTTACAGTGAGTATGTCAACAACTTCAGCACAGCGATGGCCGTCGTAAGGAAGACTTGCGCCTCTAAACCGGGTTTCCTGGAATTTCTCAAGGTTTGAAGTGTTCCTACCAAATATTAGTGAGCATATTGGTCTCGTACTAATGTTTGGTACTTTTGTTTTTTTTTTTCCCATAATTTCCATCTGCTGTGTTTTGATTGGAAGCTTTTACAGCTTTTCTTTTAACTTTGGTTACTTTTAAAGCTTCTCCCAGCTTTTCATGTTACTGAACTCTGGAAAAAAAGATATTCCAGTTGTTAAATGAACAGTTATATTTACTGTTCTTCACCTAATGATAAAAATTGTGCTTATAGCATCGTCAAGAAACCAGCAGTGACCGAATGACTCTTTATGGCCTGATGATGAAACCCATTCAAAGATTCCCACAGTTCATTCTGCTCCTTCAGGTAATCAGCAAAACATTTTGTTATACATGTTTATCACCAGCAGGGGGAGTTTGACGCTCTTTAAAAAATAACTTTTTCTTTTGGAGCAGTAAAACTGCTCAGGCTAGATAGTTTCTTTTTCTTTCTACCTTGTTCCCCATTTCTGATATCTTTGTGTTTTTACAAAATGTAGGATGTGGTTTTGCTTTTATTTCAATTATGTGTTTACCAGCAAAAATATAACAGAAAAAAAGGATATAGCTATAAAAATGGTTTATTTAACAAAGCCTGCTGTGCTGTTAATGCTGGATTTCTCTTATGCTGATCAGGACATGCTAAAGAACACACCGGTGGGTCATGCGGACCGTCTGCCCTTGCAGATGGCCCTGACAGAGCTGGAGACCTTGGCAGAGAAACTCAATGAAAGAAAAAGGGAAGCTGACCAGCGCTGCGAAATCCGTCACATTGCAAAGGCCATGAATGAACGCTACCTCAACAAGGTCCGTACCTGTAGGCTTGGTTAAGGTGCAACAATATGACCAATTTCTATTATTTTCTAAGAACTATAATTCATTTTTAGAATGTCTATTTCCATATTCCCAAAGTTGAGGGCAGGACCGTAATGGGATCGTAAAATCAAACAGCATATCGAGCTCTTCAGATATTAATTTAAATACCATGATGATATCAAATCATATTTATACAAAAATACTAGATTATAAATGAAATCTATACTTATGAATAAAAACTGTAAGGGGCTGTTAAGCTTTATGCAATTGTTGTATCCCTGTTTAAGTTACTTTTATGTTTGATACTTCATTGGTTCCTACAGAAAGTCTTGCTCTTTCAGCCTATATGAACCTGAGGAAGACATCTCTATGTGTCAAAATAAATACATTTTACTTTTGGTCTCTTTTCAGATTTATGATGTTTTTTTTTGTCCTACCGATACTGAAAATACAAACTCTGTCACAGAATGCACCCCAAAAATTATTACCTTAACTGGTAGCATGTAATGTGGTAAAATCACTGACTCAAAAAGGTTCACATTTTTGAATTTCCTCAGGCCATCATTCGGCAGGTGATTTTTTTGGGGGGATTTTAGATTTTAGCTTGTTTCTTTCTTTGATTTCTTTGGATTTTCACGTAATCCAAACAAGCCTCCATGTTATAATTATCTGTCTTTTCCACCCACTCTGGCTCATTTGCTAACTCGTGTTTACTGAGCATCCAGCGTGGGCCTGTTGAGTTTTACTTCTCTTACGCTTTAATTACTCTGAATTGTAGCTTTATTTACCCTCATCCATAACAAGTACTTTCATAGAACTGTCAGAGGAAATATGGGAAACAAGGAGATGCTCTATTGTAATGAAATCTATTATATCCTAATCTATCTGTGTGGGTGTGTGTGTACCTGTCCAGTGATCAGAGTGAGAACCATTTTTCCAATTTCACCATCAAATTGAGGACCCGTTGTTGTAAAGTGAGGTCCTCACAAGCTATTTTGCTAACGGTTAGGTTTAGGGCTAAGGTGACAGTTGGGTTAGGGTTAAGGAAAGGTATGCTTTGGTAATGGTTAGGTTTAGTTTTAGGGTTAGGGAATAGAAAGTGTTAAAATAACTGAAACTCAATGGCAGTCAACACATGTTCCTCACTACATATAGCAGAACCAACTTGGGTGTGTGTGTGATTTTTTTTTAAGGTTTCTAAGCTGTGGCTTGTTTTTCTTTCTTTTTATACTGACCATTTAGCTTCTAAGTAATGGTAGCCGCTACCTGATTCGCTCAGACGACATGGTGGAGACTGTTTACAATGAACGTGGTGAAATCATCAAAACAAAAGAGCGACGCCTCTTCCTGCTAAATGATGTGCTCATGTGTGCCACGCCTAATATCCGGTAAGGGAGATCTCAACCCTCTTTGGAGAAAATCAGTTAAATACTGAATGTTGCTATTATTTGACCACTTTGGGTTCTCCCTTTTCTTTTCAGCTCAATTTTCTCCCCACAGATTGACGTCACTTGCACGCAGTAGTGAACGTAAATCGTCCTTCCACTTTATTTTTTCACCCACATTTGTTTTGTCTGTCCTTTTTAATTGAAACAGGTGCCAGGATGGCAGTGGGAGTGGCAGTGGAAACGCTCCACTGGACCAGAGGTTTCTCCTGAAGTGGAGTGTACCTTTGAGTTTTGTGGAAGTACTGGAGTTTGGATCCAGCGAGGAAATGGTCGATAACAGCCGATACCCTGCTCCTCACTCTGGGGAGAAGGTGGTGATCAACGCTAAGCCAAGTATGAAAAACAAGATTTCTTTTATTAGTCTTCCAATAACTTTCCTCTATTTGCTGGTATCTGGCATGTCCTGATTTCAGCTCTTTACATGCAAAGATTAAAAAATAAGTGACCTAATTAAAAAATTCAGTTAGATAACATCCCACAGAAAGTGCAGAAGTAATCAGAGCTTTCTCTGACTGTGTGGTGTTGGCTCATCTGCTCCTGCACACTGCTGCTTAGCTTACTGAAAGAAGCATTCTACACTTTTTCTTGGCCGACAAGACAGATTAGGCTTTTTAAAAAAACATTTCCAATCACAGAAATGCCAACAGTGTTGTTTTGTAAATTAAAGGTCAACATCAATCTCTTTAAGCTATGATGATTCACAGTTTTCAAGCTATATAGCTATCAAGCTCAAATAATTAGTAAACTAATATAATGTTGTTGCTCAAAAATTAACTTGATGTTCCATTTGATAAGTGATGCTACGTTCACACGAAATGCAATTATAGCAACAGAAGCAGCCGGTTTACAGGCAGAGTCTATGGTTGATGCACATCAAGGCGCATCAAAGGTCCCGCAGCGCTTCTCCAGCAGCAGTAGCAGCGCATCTTGATGCGTCTGAGCAGGCCAAGCAGCGCCTCGTGAGCATGACGCATCTGACAGCAGCAGATGTTGGAATTGGAAAAATTAAACTTTTTCTGCTTGCAGCGCCGCAACAACCAGAAAAATTTAACTTTTTCTGCTTGCAGCGCCGCAACAACCAGAAAAATTTAACTTTTTCTGCTTGCAGCGCTGCAACAACCAATCAGAGAAGCTGAACTGGGAGCTGGCAGAGAGACAGACACAGCACTGCTGATGCTGATCGCTATGATCACTTCTCTGAAAAAGTTTATTAAAGTCGTCTGATTCACAAGCAAGTTTGGTTGTGGCCGGTTTGTCGGAAGCATCTTGCTAAACAGTTAGCAACTTAGTGCTAGTACATTTTCAATGACAAATTACATTGGAACCAAGTAGCACTTAGCAACGACACTGTCAAGGAACGCTATGGACAGCGGAAACATGTAAGAGGAGGAGAGTTTAGTGTCGGAGGTCGTGGATGAGTCTCCTCCATCATCCATTTTTTATTTAGAGGAGGAAAGCGGAGATGAAGATGTTGTGGAAGAGGACGCCAGGGCGGCAGAAGCTTGGTTTGGTGTAGAAGGCTTACAGCTGTACATGTTTGAGCCCTTGCCTCTCAATGCTGCCAGTTCTGTTAGTTCTACGCTTGCTGAAGACACAGACGTCCATCTCAGTGAACACTGGGATGGGAGTCAATGGTAAAGTAAATTATCCTTATTTCAACCATCGCGTATATTACCTGCGACATATGAATCAAGATATTATGACCAAAAAAATGTAATTGACAGATGTCCATTGATCTATGATTGACCGAATTTAGGTGTACAGGCTGACATATAACTAACTGGCCTGCATAAAATCACAAAAACAAAAACAACCAGATTTTAAGACGGGATTTATTTTTTAAAATAAAAATGTTCTAACTTTTGGGACAACATGGTCTGATAAAGATTACATTTATATACATGTTTAAGCCAGAATTATTTGAAATTTAAATATGACTTCCCTACGACTTTAATGCCTAAATTTACTTAAGATGTCAAAACCTGCTGGCAAAATATTTTCCCTTTTATTATTCTGGTGACTGCAATTTGTGCACAAAAAACATCAACATCCAGCCGCTACGAACAGTATCGGAAAAGTCCCCAGAGCCGATCAGGCCTGAGGCAGCTGTTGCTGGATTCCCAGTGACAGTACACCGCCAGTATGTAAGGGTGCGTGCAGCTCAGACAGCGAAATAATATTTTTAAGACAGGATCGTAATCTTGATAAACTGACTGCACATAGAATGTTCTAAGGTGGATTTTCTCACTTAAAAAACTGACAGATACCAATTTACTGGATGCGCATCTTTGCTGCTCAAATCCCGTTTGTTGTGGAAGTAGCATAACTAAAAAGGACTTTTATTGTGTCTTTTTTTTTCCTCTTTTGGTGCATTATGACCAAGAAAACAAGTATTTACTTTAAACTGTATAGATATTAACATAAATGTTTTTAACGAAAGCAATCAGATTCAATTTTATCTTTATATTTTAAAATGAATGTTGAAATACTATCAATTTATTTCCCAGGTTATTATGCAGTGAGAATCTTAAAATGGTCGATGAGGATTAAACAACAGCTTTTGTTTGACAGTTGAAGGTTGCAGAAGTATACCTGCTTATAAACAGTAAAGATTGCATTTTTGGGACACGCTGCTGTGACAGAGGAGGCAACCTTAATGGTTAGGCTGTTTGCTCTGGTGCAGATGTCCGTGGTTTGAGTCCCAACCTTGTGACCTTTGCCGCATATCCAGCCTTCTTCCCTCTTTGCCCATTTCCTGTCAGTTGGCTGTGAATGAAGGCCACACGTGTCACAAAGTTTTTTTTCTTTTTTTGTTTAGGCCTTGCTAAATTCAGACACAGTCCTTTTTTTCTTTCCTCTCATGCAGCCCAGTGGTCTGCTGCCTACTGAGTCCAATGATTTCAGTCTTTCCACTAACTTCTCAATGTGACAAACAGCTGCTCAGCCACTTTAAAGACCCAGTTCAGGCAAACAAGCGTACAGAGTGTATGATTTTGTGGTTGCAGTACTGTAGTTTTTATTTTTGATATACTTTGGTGTATTTCTGCGTTGTTAAACGCTTTGATAAAGAGTTATGCCCGACCCGTCAAGCAGACATTAAATGGCCACACTTTTATCGTGGTACCAGGCTGGAATTGCTACCTTTTAAATTATACGCTGCTCATTTTCAGTGCACCCACATTCCAGCTTTTAAACATTTCTCTTATACAGTTACCTTGAGTCTTTTTCTGACATGTCATATTTATATACAGTTAAAAGAAAAAACAGTGTTGGTGTGCATACAGTAGGAAATGCATCTATAATAACTACTTATAATAGTTCAGGTTTAGTCAAAGATGAGCTTTTGATTTCTTATGAACTCCCTACAAATTCCCATAAAATGTACGTTAAATCAACAGTTCAGCTTCAAATAAGTGTATGTTTACAGACGTCACACAGAAATAAAGATCTGAACTTCACATCTTTTTTGGGAGTAGAGCTAAAGACCATCACAGAACTATGGAGTGAAAAAGGAGATGCTGGGTTTTTAAGGGTGTGCAAGACATTTGGATTAATTTCAATTTTACATGAATAACCCTAAACAGAACATCTTTAAGCTGAGGATGCAAGTTGTTGAATAATTAATGAATCTTATCAACCAAGGAAGTTTTCTCTTTTATCAAGAGAATATTTTCTTAAAGGTATAATGGACGATGTTCCTTTCCAGGTGGATCAGCAAAATAAGTGGTCCTCCTAACTGTCAATCATTCTGGTGACATGTTTACATAGTTGAGCTGATCCCTTCCCGCTATCATCGCAACCCCAACCCCTTTACAGGGGAAAAAAGAACTCGTCTATTCAGCCAGGCCTAAAATTCCCTTTAACGACCCCCCTTTTCAGAGACACAGATGGGTATGGCACTTTGCAGGCTAACAAAAGAAGCCCAACGACCCCCATTCCAAAGGGATGGACCTTTTGGTCCATTTCGATTTGCATGTTTTCTAAACAACAACAAGGCTTTGTTGGGCTACTGTATAAAGCCTCAAACTCAACGCTATTTCTGACATTTTGGATTTAAAAAAGATTCCTAGATGGGAAGCAAAATGTCTTCAAACTTGAAAACGAAGTCCATTGAATTGTTTTTTTTATATTTTTTGGAATATGTTTACGTTATGCTATCCCACTTACTGGTGGTGAGTCTGAGATAGTCGAAAAATTGCAAATCTTCTTTTGCAAGCTTGTGTGTGCGATGCAAACAGCTCACAGCTTTAAGCAGAGCGTACACGAGGAGAAATGGACTCGTGCACGCCCTCGCACACTTTTGATAGGCGTTCCCTCTCGGGAGCAGGTACAGGGTTGTGTATGTGCATTTTTCTTTTTTAAGTGAACACTTAGTGAGTGGGTCTTTTCAAAAATTTGGAAAAATCCTCAACATGAATCCTTTAACATGACAGACTAATTGAGTTTTTACATTATTTGAAGTACATCATTATATTTCAACAGTTTATTGTGCTAGCTGTATGAAACAGTGACTGATTAAACATAAACTAATCTGAGACATTTTAAAGGCGTCATAGAATAATTCTATAGGGTATTTGGTGCTGGTCCTTAAGGTCTCTGAATAGGGTGTGTAACATTGGTTGGGCTGAAAATGGCATATTTGCTGTTCTATGAGCCCTAATGCAAGCCTGGTTAAAAGCCCTAGAATGAAATGACAGGTTTTCTTCCTTTTATTGTATGCTCATGAATATTTAGATGAGCTGTGTGCTGATTGGTGGGTTTATAACGAGCGAAGCTGGTGAGCAAAGGCGCATCATAGCAACAAGCACTCACTGAAACATCAAATTGTTGATATGGTAGGGTGACTAGATTTCCTCTTTTTCCTGGACATGTCCTACTTTTCATACCTAAAAAATTGTCCTGGGGGAATTAAAAATTTGTCTGGGATTTTGGTCGACTACAGTGCAGCAGAACGGAGCCATCAGCTCCAGCTGGTCCAGGAACTCCGGCGGGAGCCAGCGGGTTACAGGGCAACCGAACCCCACCCAGTGACAACGGCGGCCCCGTGCTTCCCCCCGCCTGCCATACGGAAATGCTCGGTCCGGTCCAGATGTAATTCTGGAGCAGTAAACCCAACTGTAGGCTAAACAGCTAAACTGGTGTCTGACATCTACCTCTATTCATGTTCTTAGGTCAGTGAACCAGTGGGATGGTCTATATGTAAATTTCGGGGCGTGACAAAAGTACAGGCCAGAACCAAATAAGGCAACGTCGTTTGGATTCACCCGTTTCATGGTGGAAGTTTAGAATTGTGAGATTTGCAGAGAAAGGAGGTGTCGATGGGGTTTAAACTTCTCTGTACGTCCATTTCACCCACAATGTAAACTTGGTTATGCATTCTATGGCCCCTTTAAAACTTATAAAATATGACAAAAATGAAAGTATTAGGTTATAAAATTATAAAAAAGATGGATGAACTATCATAAAAGGTAGGATATGTCGCTCTGACATGCTGTTAAAATGTTTCTACTTCAAAGGCCTTTTCAGTGGAGTGGATGCTAACTGTGATAAAGCTCTCTGTTTTTAATTTAATCCAAAACTCAGAGAATGGAAATGCTTTGTGGTGTTAGCAGTGTCTCTAAACAGGGGTTCTGGTTGCTCTCAGAGGAATGTTCAAAACTCGGCTCTGTGAAGTGATTCGCTGATAAAGGTCTTTTCTATTTACTGTGACTATTGCCAGCATGTCTTTTTCTGTCACGTTAGAAACGTTTTGCATAATGACCTCCCCTTTTCTATCATCACATCTTTGCCTTTCAAGCACAGCAGAGAAGTTAAATATAAAAGAGCAAAGCTTAATCCGTCATTAGACAATAGAAGGAGGTATCACAGAAATTTTAAACCTCTTCAGGAAACTGTTGCTCACCAAATTTCCTAGCGTTGATGGTGTAAATGACTGGTGTGCTGGAGAGATACTGATATATGTAATTACAGATGTACCTGTAGCAAAAGGGAGGTGAAAATAGTGTAATTCCAGTTGAAGAGAAAGACATGCCACCCACTGCAGGGTTATATGAAAACTCTCTAAAACATAATTTTCCTTTCACACAATTACGCAACGCTTTGTTTTGGTTCCATGCCATAAAATCCTGAAAGCACATTGAGGCTCCTGTTTGCCTCATGTTTCGTGACAAAATGTGAACACATTTGGGACGCTGCACAGCACACCATTTAGCTTGTTTCCAAACCGTCTTTACAGTGTGCCTGTGCGTAGGTGTGTGTGTGAGCTAAATGTCTGCTTTGTCCAGAAACGTTTCACAATGGAAACAATAGTACCTTGTATTTTGTGGGATCAGCATTGTGAAAATATTCTTCAGCATGTGATATCATCTCTTTGTGTGTCTTTCTGCTTAGCTCACCTCTCTGCAGGTTTCATCTTAAACAGGTCAATTAGAGTCACCATTTCTTGCTGCTCTCACATGTAGTATGTGATTTATTGATCAGTTTTTTTACCTAATTGCTGACTGACCTCAGTATAAACATGCTTTTAGTGCTGTTATTATAGCAGACTTTGGCATTCAGTGCTTGCACAAAGAGCCATTCAGAAATCTAGTTTCTGGTTAATATGGGTCATAGCCAGTCTAGCCTCTGGGAATAATCTCTTCATGGACTTAAAGGTTATTTTCATCACTAGGTCTCTTTATCTTTTATAAATAATTAGGCTTCCAATTGCAAATGATTGAGTAAAACCAGGGTTTCAGACAGACTATGCCAGATTTTAGGTATTGCTGGTGTATTCCACTGGCACCCCACCATGTTTCAGTTAAAACATTTTATGTATATGTAAAATCAGGCAGGAGATTTTAAAATATATACATTTTTTTATTATTTGTTATTGTAAGATGTCATTTAAATGTGTCACCATTGGGCTTTTAAGTCTGTCTCCTTTTCTTTTACTATTACTAGTGTATAAAAATATATTTAAAATATTGTAGAAACAAACATCAATTGGCCTTGCTGAGGGGCAAGTAAAGCCTGTTGGTCACCAGGCTAGTAATATAGGGGGGATAAGGGAAACCCTGTAAAAACATTCACTGTTGAATTGTAGTGATATATTTGGGTTCTTTGTTGATATCTGATTTCTGGTAACAATAATTGGTATCAGCTGCAGTTGATCCAGCATGCTGCTGCCTGTCCTTACCAAAAATGGAGCCTAGGTGCAAGTTCAACTGAATAAACTGATTGCTTACCCTCTTCCGACACAGGCCAGTCAGCTTGGAAAACCACCTCCACGAAAGCCCAATCATGATCTTTAAAGGTCTCCAAATCCACCTCTCAGTCTGCTACCCAAAGCGCAGGCAGTGGTTGCGCTATGTCTGTCTTCGATTCAGATGACCACGATTTAACCCACCTCCAGCCCCTCCTCCTCCATCGTAGCTAAAGCTTCATCAGAGTGTCATTCCTCCCAGACTCTTACTGCGTTCCCTGTCTCATCTCAACCGGTCAGGCAGAAGACCGCGATTTTAAGCTTGGTTCTGCTAGAGGTTTCTTCCCAATGAGGAGTTTTTCCTCTCCTCTGTCGCTTCATGCTTGCTCGTTATTGACAGGTTCATGCAACCTGTGTTTATCCAAGCTGGACTTCCATCTTCCAGGTCCCTGAGTGATCGATAGTATCAGCTCATGCAGTCCACTGGATCTCCCCATACAGCTCAAGCACACCGTTTGGCCAACCAGTCATGGACTGACCAACTTCATCTATCTCCACTCCACTAGTTTCAGGCCTGGGGGGGAAACAGCCCTGTTCTTTACTCCTGTTCATGCATATCAAAGCAAAATTCAGCGCTAATGTTTCTTGCCGAGGTCTAAGCGCCAAAGACTAAAGTAATTGTATCAATAAAATTCTTCTAATTGTCTTTTCTCTCCATGTGAGTTTTTGAGATTGAACTAAGGTATAAGGGCAAATCACACTAGTCCTGAACTAACTCCCTGTAACTCAGAGTAGATTTAATGGACTTCTATTTGTCAGTAATTCACTGAATAGCTTGGCACCAAATACGTAGACTTTCTATCTGTGTTTCTACCGCCCAGACCTCTACAGACGTCATGTTCAAGTCTACTTGCATATTCAGAATCAAACATGCAACTTTTAGTTCTTGCCCCACTAATCTGAAACAACCTCCCAGAATAATCTAAAATAGCTGAGTTACTTTAAATCAAGATAAAGTCCTATTAGGTCTTTGATTGTCCTGTAGAAGTATTGCAGTTAAGTTTGCAGTCCAACTTTCATTTCATTTTCTTATTAATCATTTTATCATCAATTTCTACAACAATGTTTTCACTTTTCTTATTCTATTTTTCATAATTTACATTTTTATGCTGCTTGTAACTAACTTGCTTTTCCTTTCATCTTGTAAAAGAAAGAATTACTTTTTACTGCAACAGAGCTTCATCAGGAATAAATCATGGATGACGTTGCCATTCAATAAATAATTGATATCTAAGATGTCTGACTGTCAGTTCAAATTAAATCTAACCTTTTAACCTGATCTTTAACTTGAACTTGCAAAACAATATAAACAGTTCAAATGTTTAACTAAGCTTATTGTTGCATACCTTACTAGACTGGGTTTGGACTTGGTTACCGTGCATTTCAAGCAAACAGAGGGTGAGAGTTAATGGTACATTAACATGGAGAGGATTTGATCATTAAATATTAAAGGGTTTGAGTAGTTTTTATTCATCCATCCATCCTCAGCCATTTGGTAACTGATAATGTTTTTAAACAAAGCTTTGAATTGGAAGTTATATGGCAAATAAAACATCAGATCAATAATCTGACATTTTCTGACTTGTTCAAAACACCTTCTAAGTGTTTGGCACAGCAGTTAAAAATTGCAAATTACTTATTCTGATAAACTTGGGGAAAAAAACACAAAATAACCCTGACTGAAATTAAGTATGGTTTAAACCGACAATCTGGACTGTGAAAGCCAGTGGTGGAGTTCTTGTGTCTAGTGAACAAACACTGACGTGATGAAAATCAGGGCCAGTTTGTCAAGCTGTCACTGCAGCCTGTGGGAAACTAAGTGTTTGAACTTTATTAATCATTGTCTAGATTCCAACTTCTGCTCCCGTCATTTTCTTTGTTGCCTAAGAATCCAGTCATCACTAAGGGGACCATTGAAAACTGAGACCTGCACCAAAGTACATTGTTTACACTTTTTGAACAAAGATTCTTCTATTCTATTCTTTGAAACCATCATAAGGGATCAGTTGGGATCAGTGTTCATAATATTTGTATTATTTAAATTAATTACTTGTTTCTTGACTTTTTTTTCCCCTTTGGTAGACAAACTTTACATGGGCCCTGGTCAGCTGTACCAAGATCTGCAAAACCTGATCCACGATCTGAGTTTGGTCAATCAAATCGCTGGCATGATCGGTAGCCTCAAAGGGAACTACCAGGTACTGTATACCTGCATTTAACTTGCACAGAATCAACATCACACTAGAGGGAGTTACCTTAGTATATGATTCAGACACAAAGCAGAGCTGAGTTTTAGTTTAAGCCCAGTTTTCAACTGTTAGATCTCATCACTTTTGACTGAACTGAGATTCTCTGCAACAATAATGAACAAAATGATGATATCATAGAAAAAAGCACGTTAATTTTTTCTTTCAACCTTTAGGGAAAATCATTTCATTACATCAGTAAAATAGAGTAAGCTTTGAATAACTAGTGCAGCCTTCTCAGAAAACTAAAATCTATTATCATCTTCCCACAGTTCTGTCGTCTAATTTTTATATATATTCAAAAACTTCATTAGCTAATGAATGAAAACAGACAAACACTGTCCTAAAAACATGTCTGTAGAGTATTATTGCATTGAATTGACTTTAAAGCTTTTCAGATGGCGAGTTAGAGCTTTATTGATGTAAAAGAGTTTATTATCCGTTGTGACAAACACCAGATACAGCGCTGGGACTTGATCAACAGCCGATACCGCAACGTGACGTCACAAACCTGTAGGTGGCAGTAGTGTTCTTTGATAAACATGGATGCCTCCAGTAAAACACATTCAAATGAAAATTACTCTTAATTAAAAACACTTTTTTATTGAACAGTATGTAATAATTTAATATTTAAAGTACTTTCAGAGGTTTGAATTGTGAATATGAACGGACTTCTCCTTTAACTGATTGTTTAAAAGGTTTCAATGATGATAATCCTGAAATTTTTAGGCCAAGCCAGATTTTTTTGTGCGTCTATATTAAACTATTGAAACAATTTCACATGTTCCTTAAAAAAAAACCTAGGAATACCAGTAAACTGTAGTCTGTACTTTTATGAGACACTTCTGATTGCAGACAAGTTGTTTCATGGGCTGATTTAAACTGATCAGCCAAGACTACAGGTGGGGATTAAATGGTGCTTTAGTCTGTAGAGCGCAGCATGAGTCTGTAGCTCTATGTTTGTGCTGTAAAACTAGATCAGTCATATTCAGAGATGATTCATAGAGAGGGAGGGATGGAGGCCAATGCTGAGGAAAAGGGTAAAGAAAGGACAAAAAAAAAAAAACTAAGAACTGTTTGGAGAATTCCTGCTTTAAGTTCCACATCCAAATTTATGTAGACTGTATTGGAGTTATAAATGTGCAGTGAGAGACGTTTCAGGGGCCATGCTGTAATGTTAACAAGTCATTGGAAATTAATTTTTGGGGGCAAATTACCCCTAGTCCTTTTTAATGTGAATATTAACATGTAAAAGGCTCTTCAGATTTTACTAGAATATCAATTATTGTAATACTTTTAAAACATTTATCCATTTCCTCTCTGGTTGTTTTCCCCATTCCTTCATGTTCTCCAAATGAATCTCTTTTCAGTATATTCTCCTTTTGTTTTGTTTTTTCATTCTTTCTCCATTATTCTCTTGTGCAGAATGTAAATTCCACTGTGGCGCAGGACTGGGTTTCAGGCCTCCAGAGGCTAATATTGAAGAAGGAAGAGGAGATCAGGGCAGCTGACCGGTGCAGGATTCAACTCCAGCTGCCTGGCAAACATGACAAGTCTGTTTTCTATCCTAATAAATGCACATACCTTGTTGTTTAGTGGTTTCACCTTAAATTAACTCTCATCTAGTCCCTCATCAGGGTTTAACGCCCACTAATGTTTTGTTTATCCCGGTGTTGACTTTATCCCCTTTTACCCTGCTTTTTCCCCTGCATCCTAACCACCCCCTTTCATGCATTGGGTTTTATGAGAGAATTAGACCAAATGTGGATAAACAAGTTTTTCCACCAGCTCTAATCTGTGGCATGAATCACATGGGAGAAAATACGCTTTGGTGTTTGCAACCAGTCCACCCAGCTGCTGCTCTATACACATACAGTAATCATGCTTCACATTAACCCTCACTATTATGCACTAAACATGGACCCCCTAGGGTGACTCTTGTTTTGGCTCTTTGACATTCTTTTCAACCATGACTGTCTTTAGTCTCCTGCTCTATATTTCTCTTCCCAATTCTGGCATTACTCAAAGTTGCATTTATCTGCTGGAATTAACCAAGGGTATGTCTGGAAACACAGCTGCACTCCTCTCATTCCTTTCCTGGTCCCTTCATTGCAGAATGCATTTCTCAGCTCCAGCTCTGGAGAGCAGGGATGCATTTCAGTGGCACAGATAGTCACACATGGCTACACAGAGTCTATACAAGCTGTTTATAGAAGTGATAATTCCATTTCACTTCTGTTACTTTCTCTTTTTATGAACTGCAGGTTATCAGTTTGCCGTGCCTTGCAAAAAATTGCTTACACGTTGTTGCGTTAAAAGCACAGATCTGGCCTTTATTGAAACATGATGAGGAAAACTAACTTTAGACAGACTGTAAAAGCTTAATTGGGGGACACAACAAGCATCGGGAAGATAAGGCTTTAAAGGAAAGGTCCGGTCAGCATGGAAAACAAATGTATCATTATCTATACCTAAAACTAATACGTTTGCGGTGATTTAATGAATTTGGCATTAATCAGTAAAAAAGTAATAACAGGGAGGATTTGCCATCAAACTTCTGGCCAGAGAAAAAAAAGTTTGAATTCTGAATATGACTGGACTTTTCCGTTAATCAAATAGAACAATTATTACACTTTCAACCCTACATGCAAAATGCTGTGAAGTTGAAAACGAACTCTGTGCATCATCTTCATCGTAAAACATGGTTTCAGCATCAAGCTAAAGAGATGCTTTCCTGCAGCAGGAATAAGGAAAGTTTTCCAGATGTAATTGGAGGATGGATGAAGATGAATGGAGGGAGGCCCTGGAAGGAAGCCTGTCAGACCCTGCAGGAGCCCAAACTCTGAGGCAGCAGTTTACCTCAATGAGCCAGTAAAGCCAAAGCCACTGGGGAATGGTGTAGATTATAGCATATGTATGTGTTAGAAAGGTCCAATCAAAGTCTAGAACTGAATCCAATTTTCCACTTCCAATTATCTGATGGAAGGTTGAAAAATTAAGCAAAATTTAATCTGTGTTTACCAAGAGAAACAGGCAAAGGTCTTATACCTACTCTGTTGGTCTTTATGAAAATCCAAATAAATGCACTGAATCATTTGGTGATGATATGACATAATGTGAAGAGAGGACAAAAAGAGGGGACAAAACCTTTTGCAAGCCACTGTGGGTAACTTAAATAGGAGATGCATGGATATGAATAAGAACAGAATCAATTAGGAAGGATCTTTTTGATCTGTGTTTAGATTGAAAATCAGGTAAGAGGCAGTGTAAATGGATACTCTCTGGATGTGTTTCCAGGTGATAATGAGAAATATATTAACCACTAAATTGCTGTTTTAAAGGTATAATGGAGGATTTTCGCGAATATTTGAAAATAACCGCCCTCTCCATCTTGCACAACCCTGTACCCGCTCCACAGAGGGAACGCCTGTTAAACACGTGCGAGAGCATGAATGAGCCCATTTCTCCTTGTGCACGCTCTGTTTGAAAGTTGCTGTTTGCATCTCTCATACAAGCTTACTTCAAAAAGGAGATTTGCAATTTGTCCAGTATGTCTGACTGGTATGTGAAAATGGGGACGAGCACGTAGGATGGCCTTACGTAAACATATCACCAGAATTGACAATTAGGCGGAACAATTATTTTGATGATCCACCGGGAGAATGAACATCCTCCACTATACCTTTACTGTAAGTTTTATTTGTATAATTTTCCCCTGTTGTCACATTTAAGCAAAGATCCTATTTTTCTTATTGTGTGTTTGTTTTTTCCCTCTCCTTTTCCAGCAGGGCCGGTAAGCTCACATACTTCAGTGCAGTGTTTAATACACTCAGCCCAGCCATCAAGCAGTCATGGATCAGTAACCTACAGATGGCAAAGTTGGCTCTAGGTACTTTAGTGTGCTTATATTGTCTGTTGCACCTTTTTCCCTTTATTTTTGTCTTAAGAACTTTAGTGTAAATGGGACCTTTTGACATTACTGAGATCCAACGACAACCTGAAGGTTTTATCACTGTTTTTGTTAATAGTTTGAATTCCTGAGATGACAACATTTTACGAAGTGATCTCTGGAGCGTTCTAATGGGAAACAGATGGCTTTGTTCTCTGCATAACCTGTGTGTGTTATTTGTGTTTTAAATCAGAGGAGGACAACCTGCAGGGCTGGTTCTTTGCAGATGATGACGGTAATCAAATCAAGAAACAGAAACACCCCCTCTTACTTCGACAGATGCCTGTGGTAATGTCAAAACTACAAGAGTTCAAGGTGGGTTTCTTACCCCGCAGCTTTTTCTCTTTTAGGGAGTTCGTGATCTTTTTTTTGTGTGTCTTTTTCAAGTAAATTTAGAGGTCCAGTAGTCATTGAATTATCAACAGTAGAGATATAGTATGCAAGCATTACATTGAAAGGATTAATGTTAGGTAGGCCCGGGGTTTTTTTTTTCTATTCAACATTTGATTAATTTGCATATATATATATATATATATATATATATATATATATATATATATATATATATATATATATATATATATATATATATATAT